CGCTTTACACACGCACGCGCGCACTCAAGGTATCCGTCTTTAGACGCCGATGCCAAACAAAAGGAAAAAAATACCCGAATTAGAAAAAAGTTTCCCCCAGGATCAACACATAAGAGTACACAGTTGGCCGCAGCCATGAACCGGCGCCGTCGCCGTTTAGTCCAATCGTCCAAAATCGGCTCAAGACCTGGCCAGAAAGAAAGGAAAGTAAACCGATTTTCTAGTCGAAGCGAAGTGTGTGTGCCTCTTCCCCTTCTCTCCCTCTCACGATGCGGATTTATCGCTCGACTCCTGCTCGGGGTGGTAGTTGGTCTCCCCCAGCATCGCAGTAGGCTGCGTAGTCATAGCCGTCTGCGTGTTGGGCTGCGGTTGCGTCTGTACCGTCGGACCCGTGGGCTGCTGCGCCGGAGGTTGTGACGAAGATCGTGCCGGTGTGCCCGCGGTGGCGGCGTGGAGCCTCTGATCCAACGTCTTCAGTGCCAGCGCTCGTCTCCGCTCCGCCTCGGCTCTCGCACCACCAGGTGCGCCTCTCTGTATGAAGTTGTTGCCTCGTCCGGACGGGACGTTGTCCGGGGAGAAGGGGCTGCATATCCGCATCGCCACCAGCACCTCAAAGATCTGGTTTGAAAGGGTGGCAACGAAGGGCTTCACCGGCGCCGGGAAGAACTCGGCAAATGCAAACGTCTCGCTGGCGTCTCCGCGGAGGGAAGTCGGCTGAGAAGAGTCGAGGTCGGGGAAGACGGTCTTGTAGAAGCGGAGGTATGTCCAGCTCGTTAGCAGGCCGCTCAGAGCAAGGGAGAAAGAGGCCGCCGTCAAAAGCGGCGTCAGAGACAGAATAAAGACGATGCCGAGATATAATAGAGGGAATCGCGGAACTCGAAGGGAGAGGATGCCGCGGAACAGAGTAACGGTGTGCGCCGGGACGAGCTGGCTAAATGCGACGAGGAAAGAGATCTGCATCGGGATCGTGCCGCCAATAACGGTCAGTCTGTCAGGAGCTTCGTTAGTATTGCTAGCCGCAGACACATAAGGCGAAGATTCACTTACGTCCAACGCTCGTTCCTTGTCAGGGTGAAGAAGATGATCATGAGCGCAAAGGTCAGGACATTGGGAATCAGCGCCGTGACGGCGACAAACTTGGCCAGCTCCGCTGAAGACCAAGCTCTCTCGAGGTATCTACCGCCTTGGTAAATGGTGACGCCGGCAATTCCGAGAGTGAAGATGTTGTTCTCGACCAACGTTGAGGTCAAAAACGTCCACGGATAAATAAGGGAGAGCTGAGGGATGAGCGTCAGGTACGGTATCACGATCTCGGATGTCGCGCTCCATTGACGATAGCGGATCGCCGCGCTCAGAAACGACTGCACGACGAGGACAGCCAGCAGAACCCGGGTGACCGGCGGAATGTTGATTCGGGGCGGCATCTTGGACAGCTTCCGTTCGAGGAGGAGGTCGTCAACAGCTCATCCAGGTTGGGATCGTGAGTTGGGCAAGCTCGCTTTTTTTGCCCTTCAGATATCTGGTTCCTGGAGCCTCACACAAGGGGACACTTGGACGTGACTGGTAAGGCGTCCCGGGGTCGTTTCAGTGGGTCCCTTGAACGGATTAATAGTCATACCGACATTAGAGGTGAGCTAGTCCCGACAGGGGGAAGAGCTGGAAGCTTGGCGCACGGTCCTTGCAGACGGGACTGATTGGATCCCGTGGTCCATTTTGGCGGGTTCCCAGCAAAATTGACACGGGCAGCTTCTCTCCCCGGTTGCGGTACGTACCTGAGAACCACGTTCCCTCGAGACTCCCTCTCGTGCCTCAAGTTCTCTCAACGATGTGTCTCTGACTGCCAATATCAACGTCTAGGATTGTCCTACAGCAGTAGGAATCCTGCGATAAATTTCGACTTGCGGCGGATCAACAGATGGAGTACAACACATAAGAGGCAAGGTGCGGCGCACAAGCAGCAGCACAAACAGGGCCCCGAGTTTTTTCATCTGCAAGGCGATGAACGGGCTGAGAGGGGGGCGTGGGAGTGTTCCACTGGTGGATACGACGAGTCCTCGATGCGGTCGAAACGGGGAGATCTCGTGGTTCCATCCCTGCAGGGCTTCCAAGGGCACTTGGTTCGGTTGAACGCCAGCTCAGCCCGGCCGTGCCAGTCAGAAGCCGTCGTCCGCCCTCTCCCACAGGTGCCACTGTCCCGTCCGGCCTCTCGGCAGGAAAAAGCCTTGTTGTTGTTTATTGTCTCGGTACAGCCATGACCAAAGGCCATTTCAACGATTTCCTTGGGGGAATGCTGTGACGGATGAGAATGCCTTTTCCCAGCGCAAGCTGTGGCTCACGTTGGTGAGGGCGCCACAGTGCTCAGGCGGCCAAGACTGACTCGAGAAGAGGCCCCTAGACGCCTTCGGACGGTACCGCAAACCTCGGACGGGCTGCCCTAGGACCACCAAGAAAAGGTGCCAGATCGCTCGTTTACTTGACTAGGCCGACTTCGTCCGCTAGGGGAGAGACGCCGTTGCGTTCGCAGTGGCATTACTGAATGTCAGAGAAGGATACAACTGTCAATCTGAAGTACTGGTCGCCACCCAACTCGCAACGAGACGATCGCTTGCCATCGTTACAACGAATGCCAGCTTTCCCGATACCCAGTCCGCAGTTAGCGGCTCAAGCCCGACACACCCCTTCCCTCGTCATCTCAATACCTGTTACCCCAGACGCTGCGGCGGTATTGCGCTGCGACACATGTCGCCATTGAGGCAGGAAATCCGAACACCCAAATGGCAACGGGTAATAAACAGCACAAGCGCCAGTACGGATACACTACGAATGGGCATCGTTTGAGTCTGTGCCAGGGTGCTAGGGTGATCTCTGTGAGAGCGTGCTGCCATTCCCAGGGGTGTTTCCGAACAACAAAACGTCGGCCAACGTTGACGGGACGGGGTTTGTCCACAAAACGAGGTCCCATTCGGCTTGGCCTGATGTGCCGGTGTGACTGGCCAGCAGCGAGTGCTCACAGACAGGCGGTGGCAGGGGGGCCTGAAGAAGTCCCCGGAGCTATTAAAGATCGAAGGCCATGCAGCCATCACATCCTTGTCCACACCCACCCATGGCGCCTCGCAACCAGCGGTTCCCGCCAGGAAGGCCCCTTGATGGGCAATGCCACGTACACACAAGAGATGACCTTTCCGGGCAGACAGACGAGAGCTTGGTAGAGGGGAGAGAACGCAGGATGTGAGGAGTACCGAGAAAGGCAACGAACGCTTGAATCGACGACGACAGTGGCATTTCGTCGTCAAACATACGTCGTTGACACAACAAAGCGCGGCCACAATCCTCAAGACAAGAGAGGCTTGTTCCGGCTGTCTCGTCCGACTCCGACCACGAGCGTTCCCCCCAGCTGGTGTAATGACCAGTATCCCCCACTCGGCACCGTACCTTGCCTTGCTCATTCAAGGTTTGGCGGTACGTACATGACGGGTAAGAATTGGAAACAGACAAACCGCTGCCCATCTGCGCGGGCTGCAGCCCCAAGAGGCGCGGCCCTCTCTCGGCATTAGCCTCCAGGGCGGTGGCCGTATGGGGCAAAAAGAGAGAAAGAAAGCCATGTACGTATCGATTTGTGCATACAAGCTAAGCCGTGCCGCAATCAAGACAGACGACGGTTGGGCGGAGACGTCAGAACACACACAAGCACCAGTGGTCCCAGTGCACCAGACAAGCATAGTCTGGCGCTGCTGGGAACTGGTCCCGTTGCTCGTCTCATCTTCCCTCCTTAGCCTGGCACGCCTGGCAAGTCTGTTTCTGCGGCGTGCTTCCGCGCGTGTCTGGCCCTGCTTTAGTTGTGTACCTTGGGTCGTGGAACAATGCTGGGGGCCAGAAACAGCCACCAGATTCACAAGACTGGGAATGTTTCTGGGCCTCCCGCCTGCGTGTCTCTTCTGATCTCCGACCGGTGAGGTGGAGATGGGTATCCGTAGCGGGATCAAGTCACTCGAAAAGGGGGAGGAGGGATGGGAGATGCCGGAGCACGGAGGCAGGTCACTGGTCACTGGCAGTGGTGATACAAAAACTGCATTCGATTGGCGCAGATGCGCTAGAAGCGAACGTGCGGCGGCGCCCGCAATGGGCAGATATGACGGACGGCAGAGTCAAGGAGTTTGCACGAGCAGATCAGCTGGGTTAAAGACATTGGAGGTTTTCGGGTTTTCCCATTGCATCCAAGAAACTGGGGAGCCGCCTTACGTAAGGTGGGACTTGATGGTGGGCTCGACATGTACAAAAGCTCTAGCCAATCCGTGCATCGCTCTCCCGTGTCTGTATGTACTTTTCAATGTATCTTTCGACTCTACAGATTCATCCTGCGTACGGATACGTACGAGGTACTCCGTACCTGTGTCATGGTCGGTACGGAGTACGGAGCACCTTGAAAGTTCAACGTCTCCAGCCCTCTGTCCGTCACGGTCCAGCTGCCCGTATCCCTACGTCTGTCAGTCAGGAAGAGCCCGGCATCCACTGTGCCTTGCTTGTTCTGGACCCCTGAAACCATCGAGGTTTTTTTTCTTCTTCTTCTTTTCTTCTGGTGCGGCTACGATGAACGCTCGTCGATATGCACGCCGGTACCTAGGCATCGATCCGTGTGCACCTTGGAGAGAATTCGCTTGCCCCGTAGTCAGCTAGACGACTAGAGATCGACACACACTGAGCAAGAGATTGAGCGCAATCGCGCACTTTTGATACCCAGTCGTGCCGGTGCTATTTTGGATGGGAGTGTGCCAGGTAGGAGGATCCATCCCCGGTGCTCACATTGCACAACAGCATGGAGGAGCCTAGCGAGAAGCGAGCGACGCATTATGTATGTACTCCCGTTACTCCGTACTCCGTAGTTGTACCTCTCGAGATCGAGAAAGAAAAAAAAAAAGCACGCACAGCCGGCTGGGCCCCCAGGCCTGGAAGGCAAGGCACGAGGCAGGGAAATAGGGCAAAAAATAAGATAGAGAGGTAAAATGTACTTTTACGTATGCGCGAGTATGAGACGGTACTTGGGACAAAGCGCAAGGGGCGGCATTGTGACTTGGGGGTGTCAGGACCACCTTCAAAGTGCCCCGAAATGTGGCTCTCCCGGGAACCCTGTCTTGAGTAGCAGCCCCAAACACCAAACCCCAAGTTCGATGGACCACAACAACAAATTGATGGACGGGGACCACGGGATTAGCAGAGAATTATCGTTTTCTCGAAGGCTGCCCGCCCCTTCTGCCTCCCCCTCCCCAGACACAATCCTCTCTGGGACCTCCCCTGATCTCAGTGGTGGAAGAAGGTACCTTTCGAGTCGTCGTTTCCTTCTGCCCGGCACTGCAGCAAGTTTTTCGTTCTTCTTTTCTAGTCGAGAGAACCGCGCTCCGAAATATGGGAACACATACCTAGTGAACAACGGGGTAAGTCAAAGAGACTGCCTGCCGTCTCGTCATTGTCGTGGTCGTCGTACCTATCGGCTGGCCCAGATTTCTCAATGGGATCGCTGACTGGCTAGTGATTTCGAGGAACGGTCCAAGAGGTACGCTGAAGGTTAAGTACCTTGGATCATGCACTTTGGGGCCTTGGAGCCGGCTCCACACCCGCCCGACAAGTACGGTACGTACCTTTCGTGGGTAGGGACGCAGTAAGGTATGTATGCTTGTTCCTCCAGCTTCCCGTCCCAGTTGATGGCAAGCCCAGACGTGTGAAAAGTCTCCAAAGATTTCGTGTGTCTTGGTTGATGCTGGCATTTGCGTTCATCAGTCTTTCCATTGCCTGGGACTTGCAAAGCCTCGACCAGGGTCCGGGGCCTCAGGCTGGTCCCTTTCCCTTCTTCCTTTCCTTCTCCCCTACTGCCCCCATCTGGCGAGTTCCCTGCTGCTCCTGATCCGACTGCGACAGGTGTGTGTGCGTATGTGTGTGCAAATATGTGTGTGTGTGTGTGTGCGTGCGCCGCCTGCAACTGCATCGTCGTGCCGCTGCACCGATGGGGACGGAGGCATACATCGGGTCGTTGGTGGTCGCGGTAGTGTCGAGGGCAACCGTACGGCACCTTGAGCAGAGAAAAGAAAGCTGCTGGTGATCGACGGGACGGCGGTAGGCAGGTAAGTTTATGGGGTGAGTGCATCAGCTAGTGAGCTATGGTATGGATTTGGTAGTGTAGGTATCCGTACTCTACCGTGGTGTATGGTACGTATGGGTAGCAGTAGCCAGTATGCCACTGCCAGTTCCACGCGCATTTCGGCTTCCATCCCTCAAATGATGCTGCGCAGGTGGCAGCTAAAGACGGGACAGTGAGTGCAAGCAATGCGGAGGCAACGCCGCGAAGCCGCGACGCAGAGAGCGAGGAAAAGCGTATCGTGCTCATCCCGTCATGCCCCAGTCCCAAGTCCCAGATCAAAGATGTACTCCGTACCTTAGTCGCAGTCGCAAAGTGCCAGGCCAGTCAGGTCGCTCCCCTTCTCTCTCTCCTTCTCTTGAATCTTGTCCAGGTGTCTCTCCTCTTCCTCGTCCTCGATCCATTCCATCCATCCTCCTCTTTGCTGCAGTGCTGGCACCCCCGGTCAGTCATAGGCAGTCCCCTACCTTAGTCGCTAGTCCAGTCAGTGCCCGCCATTGAATCCAACTGGGCTGCTGGCGCTAGCGCCACGCCTCACGCCTGGTCTCGCCTAAACAAGGTACGTAGGCTACGTACCGCCAGATTCAGATTCGCCCATCCTTCCATTTCATCCACTCTTGCGGGCTTCCTCAATCTTCAATCTTTCCTCATCTTGAATCGACGACTGCAAAAAATCGCTTCCCCCTCGACCGACGACGCCAGCAAAACGCGCCCACGAAGGCTCTCATCGAGTCCCCCATCGAAATCTCGTAAAGAACCCCCTTTCAATTACGCCGCCCACAGCGGCGCCGAGCGGCATGGTCACCAAGGAGTACCTCGACTCGGACAGAGTCAACTTTCTCGTCTGGAGGTGAGTTCACCCTTTTTGCGTCTCACCCACTCCCGCCCGCCGCACCTCCACGCACAATCGCGCCTCACTCATCTCACGCCCTCTGCCTTTGCCCTCTCATGAATCGCTTCTCGACGGATGGCCTCGCGCCCTCATGCTATCGCTGACCTGCTGACTTTGACTCTCCTCTCTCAGGTATCTCTTGGAAGGCAGTACGTGACAACCAACCGTCTGGGTACAGCCAGCGACAGCTGGTGGTGGGCCACGGGCTTTTTTTCTGACGATTGCAGACTACCGAGAGACCGCAGCCAAATTCCAGAAAGAATGGCACATTCAGCAACCTCATCGCCATTTTGACTTCGCAAATCACGTCAAGAGCCACGCTTTGGTGTCCGTCATCAACAAAGGCCTCTGCTACCATGCCCTCGAGAGAGAGCATGCGAAGAAATTGGTAAGGCATTGTGCTCCACTCGGCTGTCCTTCCCCCCTTCCCTTCCGCGTCATAAGCAACCGGTGCACCCCGAGTCGGCGGCGAGACGGACGGGTGGGTGTGTGGAAAATGTGCGAACTCTGGCAAACTAACGTTTTCTCTGCGCGTGCAGGTGCCTTCAGATGCTGCGGCTGCGGCCGAAGCACTGCAGGTGGGGTTATTTGGGCCATTGATCGCTCAACCGCCTCAAAAAATTGAGGAGGATGAGGACGCAGATGGCGAGGTGGACGACACAGAGATGGAGGTCGAAAACACTCGGAAACGCCAATTTGACAGCCGGCCACAACAGCAGCACATGGTGAATGGCGGCTCACCCAGCAAGCGGCCCAGGCTGAGCAATGGGTATGAGAGCACGAACGGGGCGGATGCGGCCACGGACCCCATGGAGCTAGACAGCCATGGCGACAACAACCATGCCTATCCGTCGCCTCTCGAAGGCGAGCAAGCTCCGACGCCCACCCCGAGAACAGATGGCCCCGAGCAGGGCACGCAAGTCGACAAAGTTGAGGAATTGGCCACGGAGACGACATTTTTGCGATTAATGCCCGATGACGGCAACTCCAGCGCCGGTGCCACCAACAACGCTGGCGACGGCGGCGCCCCGACGACTTTGACTACCACTGCTGCAAGCGCAGGCGGCCCTGGAACTTCGCCCTCGCCAGCCAACGGTGAAAACGCACCCATTCTGTTGCGCTGCGAGTGGAACCCAAAGGACCCATCAATCTTGGCGGCTGCTGGAACCGATGCGCTAGCCCGAATTTGGACCATCTCACGTTCAAGCACAATGACGCCCACTCCAGCTCCCGAACCCGACGGTCACGTGCATGGTGTACATCGCCCGTTTCATAGTCTCATCGACGACGAGACTCCCAAGACAGCCACAGTAGGTCAACTTGCTTGGAATAGTAGGGGAACGGCCATTGCCATCGCCATCGAACATGGCGACAGGGCATCGGTTCACATCTGGGCAAAGGACGGTTCTCATGTCGACAAGTTCGACGTCTCAGACCCTCCCGTGATCAAGCTCCGTTGGAGCCCGAGCGATGCAGCCCTTCTCGCCATTGCGCCCGATAACAGCAACGCAAATGGACCCGGCGGCGCTCTGGTCACTGTCTATCACTCCCTGACGTCCAACACACTGTCCTATTTCCTGCCGAATCACGACTTGCTCAGCTGGCCACTGGATGCTGCGTGGACCAGCGAAACAGAGTTCCTCCTCACCGGCGGAGATGTCATGCTGTCACTAAAGTGCACGGAGACGGCCATCGTGCCGAACAAGAAATTGGAGAGCCGAGAGGACGACACATTTACTCAGGTTGTCTACGACCGGCGATCAAAACTTTCCGCTACCGCGAGCGACAAGGGCATCCTGGATGTAAGTGTCCCGAAACGCCTGTGCCATGAAAGTTCAGCTGACTCAACCTTGTAGCTTTGGGACGAAGATGGTCACCGCCGGTCAATAACGGCCCACTCTGGGGCGATCACGGCGGTACAGTGGCAGCCTCTCCCGGATGATGCCGTCGTGCCGGAAGACGAACGATTGGTCGCATCTGGAGGCGACGATTGCGCCATTATCATCTCCAACGCCAAGGACCCTGAGCCTGGAAAACCAAAGTCTATTCTGACCATGGAATCGCCCATTGTATCGATTGCATTCACACCAGATGGCGCATTCATCGCCGGAGCCACGGCCGGTCGCATTCTGATCTGGAAGGTTGGCGAGCAGCACACGATGCCAAGGGCGAGCTGGAGCAGATCGCCACATCCCGGATGGCTCAGTCCCAAGGCGAGCTCGGAGCCGGAGGACGAGGATGAGCACTGTCTGTGCTGGGATGCCGACGGACAACGGCTCGCCTATGGAGCTAACAGCAGAGTAAGTCATATCTCAAAACCTCATGGTGCGACCTGATTCTAATCATGCGCAGCTGGCTGTGATCAACTTCCGTCGGTAGACGAAACAGAGATTCCGTGCCCTCTGGCACACGCTTAAAGTCGTTCAAAGCATTCCAATGGAGTGTTGGACGTTATAGAGACTCGGTAGTCCAACATCAAACCACCGAGACCTTCCGAGAAAGGGGAAACCATGTCCACCCTCCGAGAGTCTCAACCAAACGATTCTGTGTCGTACATTTACCACTTTCGAATTTTTGCAGTTATCCGGCGTCGCGGCGGTGTTGTTTATCGATGATTTCAGACAGGTCCCCAACAAACGGGGTTGGGGCGGGGAACCGGCTGCCTTCTTGCATACGCGTACCTTCCATCTCACATTACAACTGAAGTTTCTGGAAAGGACGACTGGCGTCTGCGTTGGTTTAGATGTCACCGTGGTAGATGATTCGGTCTCTTTCCCCCCTCTGGTTGACTGATTGTTCTCCAACGTACTCGTGTCCCGCCAGCGGAGGAGGGGTACTTACTTTGACACTTGAGGGCTCAGCACGTTGTACACTATGCCTGTATATACCAAACGATATGGAAAAAGGAAACTATGACACTTGACTTCACGCTGGTTTGATTTGTGTGTAATTTTTTGACGATGTCGTGAAGGACTACAGGATACCATTGTGGTTCTAGACCTATCGCGAGGTGATGAAGAGCGACAGCCTATGGTGGGAAGGCTCTATGTCAGAAATTCTACATCACCATCATTATAGCTTCTAATGCAAAATGTACGGTATGTGATTTGGCTTCAAAGTTACCTACCTTAGATCACCGACGGCTTGGTTAGACGTGACAAAAATGGCAGCCCGGGCCCCCGCATCGGATCCGGACGGACGACGGAGAGGGGGAGGGGACAGTGTAAAGGGAACGGGAAACCCCAGCCACACTTTTGCCAGCGCCTCTCCTTCAATGTCGTGCCCCGCACGTGTGATTTCCAACGACGACGTCCCCTCCATTTTTCATCCGTGCGCCGCGTCCGTTTCCCTTCCTCTGATTGCAAAAGAAGTTGCGGAGTATCAATCCCATTGTCTTCCCGCCCTCGACGATCGAAAAACGCATTGTTTCTTTTTTCGACTTCTTCCCGTGGCGGACTCGGCGATCGCGACTGACTGAGGGGGCGTGCTTTTTGTCTCACTGAGATCCGACGTGGGTTTTAGCTCGCGATATCTCGACACTGCTAGACGAGTTTATCTTTTTTTTGACGATCGGGTTAACGAGCGAGGCGACTGCGTGCCGAGTGAGGTGAACGAAACGGCGCCAGGCAGGATCAACCTCGCACACACCCGCCGTGCCTAATCGACCTGGCAGCTGGGAGCTCTCACCAACCGACCTTTGCGACCTTCTCATCTCTCTCGTCTCTCACTCATCCACATACAACACGCTAAACCACAACCCGTCAACCACTGTTACAACATACACATCACACACAAGGAAAAAATGTCAGCACCATACTACACCCCCCAACGACCCTACTTCCCCCCCTCAAACCACCCCTCCGCATCCTCCTCCACCTCCACAACACGCGCAGGCGGCAGCGGTGGCGCATCGGGGGCAACAGGAGCACCCTCCTTCACACCCGCCATGCGCGACCGCCAAGCGCGCGGGAAAGACCCCTACTCGCCGCACGACAGCCCCTCGGACTCGGATCTCGAGTATGAAGGCGGGGCCGGGGGTTCGCCTTCGAGGGGCGGCGGCGGGGTGGGTAGGTTGGGACACCTCGGTCCCGGGGCAGGACATCACGGCGGCGGCGGTGGTGGGATGTTAGCCGGGGGAGGAGGGGGAGGTGTGGGCGACGGCGATTCGCATGAGGTTAGGAGAAGGAAGCTTTGGGCTGTTGCTGTGCTTGAGGATCCGGAGAAGTTGGCCATGTACGCGTGTAGTCGCGGAGACGTAAGTACCTTTCCCCTTTTCTCCCCCCCTCCTTTTTTTTCTCTTTCGATCCGTCTTTCTCATTCCATGTATATCGCGCACCCAACTGACGTCCTTTGCAGAGCATACCCGGCACCCGCCTCCACTTCACCCGCATGCTCTGCGGTTTCGACGAGGAGCCGATGCACCAGCATCAGTCGGACCACCGCAAGGCGTCGGCGTCGTCGTCTTCGGCGCGACGGGATCCGAGGCGGCGGAGCGCTGGAGGGGACCGAATGGGTCGTCATTGAATCGGGCCACAGGCTGCATGGCACTTTCCTTTTTACCCTCTGACGGCCTCTGACGTATGACATGACACTTTTGACGCGGTTTGCGGGATTACGGACTTGAGACTTTGGTTTTGAGATTTGGGGAATGGGGTCTTCTTGAGAGGATTGGTATCTTTACGGGGAAGCAGCTTGCTCCGCCTTGACGTTTAACTCGTGGACGGTCTTGACGCGACCAAAGGTGGGGGGACGGGGGGGGGGGGGGAGGGGAACATCCCTCGGCTGTAGTGGACGAGGTTGGCCTCAAATCGAGGCACGTAAGGAAGAAGAGAAATAGCACGGCGTAAATGGAGTTACGGAGTCATCATCACGTCCTGCATCCTCAAATATACATTCTCTCGAGTCAGACAAACTGCAATGGGTCCACATCACGACTGAATACCAGCCAAAAGTTCTCAGTACGTGAAACGTCAATGTGAAAAAGGGATCGTATGTCGGTCTCCCGCTGGTATCCGCACCGGATCAGCCAGCTGACCTTATAGAAGCTATGTAATTCTCTCTCTCCCCTCTGCCGTTCTCTAGGTAAGCTACGGTCAGGCCAGGTTTATCCTACGAGTAGGTACGCAACCCCAGACCTCCCCTGGTCATCATAATTACACGAAATGGCAATCCCGTCTAGAAGAACAGGTTTGCCGTGGTTCCAATGTGCAATCGTCGAAGCTCCCCCAAGATGGAATTTGAATCCAAAAGGGGGCCAGTAATAATAGTAAATGAAAACAAGAAAAAAGCACCGCCAACGCCGAGTAATGCAATGGTCTAGAGTAATATCCAACTTGTCCCGTCCTGTATCTTCCCTCCTTGAGCTGTCCCAGGTCACACCGTATCTTTAGGCGTACCTGGCGCTCTGAGTCCTGTTCATCTCCCAACCTCCGTTCTGGTAGGGGTCACCGCCATGATAAGGCGGAGGCGCGCCGGGCCGCGTAGCAGCCGGCGGCGGCGGAGGAATGTTGGGATTACTCCACGCGCCCCCGTAGCTGTTCCATCCGCCATTGTGCGCCATCGCCGGCACGGGCACGGGTTTGAGGCGCTTAGCCCTTTGCCGGCTCCTGCTCCGCCGGCACGCGCCGCAGATGCAGCTAAACAACACAATGAGGACTAGGAGGCCGACGACGATGACGACGGGGATGAAGATGCCCTTGTTGTTCTGGATCCAGTCCATGATCTCGGTGCCGGCGTTGGCGCCCTGGCAGACGCCGTTGGAGCACTTGCCGCCGCCCGTGCACGACGTGCCGTCGAGGAAGTTTTGGTTCATCGTCACGCAGGCGCCGTTGCCGATGCTGGGGACGTTGCAGGAGATCATGCAGTCTGAGCTGCCGCTGTTGCATGAGGTAACCGAGGTGGAGTTGGTTCGCGATCCCCAGGCGGTCTTGCACTGCTGGTCACGAGAGGTGCACTGTCCAGAGGCGCAGGTGAGGCCCTCGCCAGAGTTACCGCAAGAATCACCGTCAGCCTTGTGCTCGTCGCTGGGACACGTTGATGATGAGCCGCTGCAGGTCTCCTGGGGGTCGCAAGAACCGGTGCTCGTTCTGCACACGGTACCGTTGGAAGCGAACTGGCACTGGCCGTTGCAACAGTCCTCGTTGGCGGGGTCGCAGACTGATCCGGTGGTGAACTTGCACGTCGTGGGGTTGCAGCACCTGTTGCTGCCGCAGCCAGAGGTTCCACCGCAGTCGCAGTCCTCGCCAGACTCAACAATGCCGTTACCACATTGGCTTCCGGTGATGGTGTTGACATTTCGGTTGTTCGTCAAGCAAGACGACTTGACCTGGTTACGGAGAAGACCGGAGCAAATGTTACCGATACTGCAAGGAGAGAATGCTCTGATACCGGTGCCGGTCGACGGGTTCATAATGTAAGAGCCACCCGCATTACAGGTGCTGGAGCTCAGGGGGCAGCACCGCTGCATGTCGGAATCGCCATTGCTGCAAGTGTCGGAAGTGCAGTCGTGTACGGCACCAAAGGTATGGCCGACCTCGTGAGCGATAACCTGCCACTCACTTGGCGTTTGAATCACTACGTTGGCTGACGCGACCGTCTCATTGTTACTGCCGCTGCCTGATGTCTGGGCTCCATCGGTGCAGGCCTGTCCCAACCACGCCAGACCAACAGCGGAATCGGTGCCGCAGGTACTCAGGAGCGTCCAGAAGGCGTTGTCATCGTTGGACTTACCACGCCACGCCGAGAAGAGATTGAGACGATCGGTAATGGTGACGCTGTTACTGCATGCGACGTTCCACGGGGCGGTCGAGCTGGCCTGTCCAGGGCAGTTGGCGTCGCTGATTGTGAGATTCTGAATGCCGAGTGAGATGTTGAATGTGCTCTCGTACACCTCGGAAGCGGCGTTGATCACATCGATGATGTTCTGCCTGACAGCCTGCGTTGAGTTGAAGGCGGCGGTGTAAGTGCAGTCCGTAGCAACGCCGAGGAGGGCGATCTTGCGTGTCGTCGGGCATCCGTTGGTTTGTCCGATGGTGGAGACGAGGTTGACACCTGCGCCGTTGTTACCGGTGCTGCCGTCAATCTGCCTGCCGAAGATGTTGCGTCCGAAGAGAGAGTTTGATGGCACGGACTGCAGGGGTTCGGTATCCCGCGCGTCAAAGATCTTGTAGTCGGTGTTGAAGTCCAAGCTGTCCGAGTTGCATGAAGACCGGCCGAAAATTTCCCGCTTCTTCTTTAGATCCTCGCGATCGGTCCAGTATTCGATAATATCCGAGTCCCTCCAGACCACCATGTACTCGTCGGGGTTCCGGCCCTTGCCCGGAGCGTCGGGGTCCTCGCGGTGCTTGCGCGCATGGTAGTTGGTTCCAGTCTGGATTCGGTGGTGGTCGTCGTCGATGCGGAAAGCGCCCTCGAAAATGGGTTCCGCGCCGTCTCGGTGTACCGTGATTCGAGCCCATCCAGCATGCCTCCAGTCGTTGGGGCTTCCCTCGTGGCGTACGAATGCCTTTCCCCTGAATACCCGGTGCTCTAACCTGTCGACAGTTTCTGTGGTGTGGATCTTGCCGTCGTGGCCCATGTAATTCACTTGGAGGTTATTGTGGAGAATGTCATCGTTCGGTTCCAGCGCAAGGCGTATTTCCTGTTGCTTGTCGTGTAGAGAAAAAGTGAGATCGAAGTGCGAAAGGGCGTGGCAGTGTTGTGAAGGGGAGTGGAAAACGGCATCTTCGAGGATGGTGACATAACTCAGCGGGTTGCGCTGTGTCGAGTGTGCTGTTCGCCGTCGTCAGTACGCCTCGCAGTACACCATCACTTTCCTAATACATACCATAAACACTCTGGGGAAGAGCCGCGAGGCCGGCAAAGGCGGCAGCTATAGTCCTGAAGGAAACCATGGTTTGTGGTGGTGTCCCCGCAAACGGGGTGAGGCTCAAAGAGGCCTCTCAGTTGTGGTGTTGCGTAAGCCTCTCGAATAGGGGAGATTGAGAGAGGAAGAGGGTCGGTTTGCGATCGTCTTAAACCACTGTTGTGCCCACGTCGCACCGCGTCGTCCCGGGTGGTTTCCAAAAAAGAGCAAATACACACACGATGGGATGACGAACGAAAAAGGTAACCAGACGGACAGCAAAGTAATAAAACAAGAATGAACGAATGGAGAGTGGTGGACGGGGAAAAGAAGGTGGAAAGTCCGGGTGCTGGCGGCCGTTCGACGGGTGACGGAAGAGGAGAGAGCGCCAGTGCTCAGGAACTTGCGGATGTGGGATTCCTCGGGGGGCGTGTGGCACACTGCAGAGTGAGAGTGAGGGTGAGAGTCCACTGCAAAGTGCCAAAGAGCGTGCGAGTGTGAGATGAACGGTGGATTGCGCAACACGATCTCTTGGTACGGGGGCGTGGACCAACTGTATTGGAGCTCGGGAGGTGCTGTGGATTCCACAGGCGGGCTGGGCGACGTCTTGGTAACTCTTGGCCTAGTGCTACTCGGCGACGCGGCAGTGGCAACGCCAATGTCCAAGTATCCTCGTGGGGGCTGGGACAATGCAAGCTGTGCAAAGTACCCGTAGCGTCCGTAGCGTCCCTGGCAACCAACCCGGTTTTTGTGTCTGTATGTACGGAGTACCCGTACAGTGGTTTCTCTCGGTTTGTCGTGTTGAGTACGATGCAAGAGAGAGAGAATGGAAATAAACGACAGTCCCAAAAGGGGTGGTTGGGTCGGGTGAGTGAGAATCAAGGTTGCGGGATGGGTTCTATTGTGGCTCTGCACACTCTTTTCTCTCCCCTCTAGACTCCTGACTGGTTGGTGGTGTACCCTTCTCCAGGACCGGGGGAGGAGGAGGAGGAGAAGAAGCCTACTGCGTAGGTACTGTACGTAGTACGCAGTGGAAGGATGTCAGGATGGAGAATGGTTCGGATTTTGTGTCCCTGTTTCACTGTTAGTTGCTGACAACCTTTTGGCAACGGAAGCCGCAAATGCCAATTAATTCTGCGACCCGGTCGATCCCCCATCGACCCCGAGCCCATGGACGCCAACACGGGCGCTACGCTGGACGCTGCGCTTGCTTCGCTCGCTCTCGTAATCCATCCCAGGCACTTGGGCTAGCTTGTCACTGACACCAACACCCCGGATAGGAATTAAACGAGAGGAAAATGGGCCACGAAAGAAAAAAAAAGAAGAAAGGCCGAAGAACCCGCCGCCCGTAGCCTGATTCCGGTCCAGCCAGAAAAAAACCACTGACGCAGGAGCCGGCATCGGGGCTTCTGTATACTTCGTAATGTTTGCGCTATAGTTCATCTCATGGCGCTGACCGACATATGCACGCAATGATTCAGGCTCATGCAAATATAGGAAGACTGCAAGAAAGGGAAAAAAAAGCTTCGTTCCAACATACCTCTTCGATGCCGACACCAAGTGGGATGCGGGTGCGTGCGTTGCGTTCCGTTCGTAGGCTGTAGCGAGAGGGGAATCCCGGCGTAAAAAGCCAAGATGCTCCTTTCCCGGGGATCTGACACTGTCCTCGTCTGAGCTGAGGCACGAGGAGACCTAGGAGGGCCGTTGGAGTCCAAGTCCCGCGAATACCTGCTCCAACTCCCGTGAATGTAGAGGGGGCCAATGGCCTAGCAAGGCAATGGAGCCGATGAATGGAGGGGGGAAGGACTGGACGTGATGGGATGAGATGGCAGCCCTGGGAAAGACGTATCGGGCTGAGCAATTGGCAGCGTGTCAGCGGTTTCTCTGAGGATTCTCCTGCACATGCACATTCAATGAGTGGTGGTGTGTTGGGTTTCCCTTCCCTTGACAGAGGGGGATCCCTACTTTACACAGAGCTGTGTAATCGTGGGCTATTCTTAGCCGTGCTGTTATAGACAGAATACGTACCTTTTTCCGACGTTGGTGGTGGTTTTTCCCTTCCAGATTCCCCAAAGGCCCAAACCCTTGGCTCCAAGTTGCGACCTTTTTCCCGTTGTGTGTTTCAGAGCCCAATGGAATGGCACGCTGGGCCAGGTAGACTGCAAAATAGGGCGCTTTCTCGGCCAATGGCAACTGCCTCACCCTTGCGAAAGGGTTTCGTCGAGAAATGATGCTGGCAATGGCAACCCGAGTGAAGGGGGTTCTTCAAGCCTTTATTCAAGTTTGACGTTTTGACGGGGAGCTTAGGAGAAATGTCGAGATCTCTATTGTGTATAGCCTCAAGGACAAAACGCACAATCTGGTCTGATCCGTCCAGTGGTGCATGCATCCACGATGATTTAAGTATTTTTCTTCTATTCTCCCCGAAATCTTGGAATGTTCTCCGATTCTTTGACGGAATGGAATCTGTGGATCATTCAATTGCGCCGAGATACCACTATTATGCTCATCACTTTTTCTTGGCTCCCTTCTCTGCCACTCTTTACCCACGGTAAACGCTTTCCCATCTGGCGAGATGGGCCATTTCCTTCAACCTCCCCCCGCCCGCGCGCGTCGGATGGGACGGTCTTGGTGCTTGGGTTGTGTCCTACTTGCTTGTTGTTCTGCTACTACCAGTCCGGTGTTCCCATTCACCACCGAAAAAACGAGTAAGCTTATTGAAGCTTACGTCTCCCTTCCCCCCTCTCTATACACTGGGTCCCTGACTTTCGGGAGGCTGAGCAGGGCTTGGCTTAGAGTTCTCTGACGGAGCCAACTCTGTCTCTGAGCCCGGGGACTGCGTGGTTCGGGACCGCTAAACCTAATTGGTCTCTCTTTTTCCTGTGTCACTCATCCTTCACTTGGAAGTTTCATTTTGCTGCTTCTTCTTCACAAAGTATCAGCAAGAGAACGCTTCTAATACACCTAGGCACGCATCCGAGACAGCTTAGTTCGGTACGAGTTGCCAGGCAGCTCCAATTTCCAGGGTCTCAAGCGAAGTAGTATTGGAAGTTACACAATCAGAAGAAACCCCAGAGTTGATTAAACCTCCCGCGTACAGGGACGGCATGGGAATGGATGACAGAGTTCAGAAACTCAATACTCACCCTCCCCGCTATCGACCGAACCAATCATCCATCCTCATCTTACACCTTGGCTTTTCACCAGGGAAAAACATCAGACGGCCTAGATTTCTAGAGCAACCATTGGCATCAACACCGCCTTTCCCTAATGTCCATCTCTCTACACAGCCCGCGCTGGTCAGTAAGTCAGTCAGTCGAAAGGGTCGGATTTAAGCCTCTGGTCCTCCGCCGATGCCGTGCAGTACCGCCGCACTCACGCAGCGTGAAAAAAAAAAAAACAAGCACATCCAACTACTTACACTAGCACAACTTACATCTCGGCGCCCCCCCCTCATGAGGATTGCGCGTCAGACCCCATCCTGTGGTGGCTTTGCTTTCTGCATGCACAAGAGAAAAGCCAAACGAAACAAAACAAGTTCTTCTCTCGACCAACCATTTCGTTTCTGAACCCTTTTGCTTGCTGAATAATTGATAAACATTACCAAAAGTCGGTGGAGATGGATGGTGCCCTTTCACAAGTATGCGAACTGGATCTTTCACCTTACCTTACCTTATCCAAGGAGGCCTCCTCCATGTTATGTTCCCTGTCTTCCGAGAGAATCCAACCTTTTTTTCCCCCCACACGCATCAGGGTATCAAATTACCTCCGAGCAGTTCACGGCACCTGAGGCCGCCGCATCTTTGGACGCCAAGTCCACGGGGGGGAACGTCTCGCCTGCTAGGACTCCTCAGGAGTCTAGCCTTGATTTCTTGGCCCGAACAGGTCGATCGTGGCTCTTGGGTTTCCGTCTCCGTCTGATCGTCATCTGATACTTTCTTGGACAGTATGTAGAAGCCAGAACAATGGGAAGTGACGGAAGCTGCCTTCTTCCGGAGTACTCCATCATGATCCATGACCACTGCTCCGTGCCACATGGATCATAATCGTAGGTACGCTGCCATGTAGGAAAGAGTTGATATTGGAGCCAGTGTATATTGTGATTTCTTGACTACTGCTACAGTTTCACTTACACAGTTACCCACGTGATCATTGTCCCGTTGGACAACCTTCGTCCACACAGATCGTAGCCTGATGATAATCTGTCGGTGATATTCAAAACGGGCAAAGCTCATGATCTAGAGGATGTGTAAGAAACTCCCATTCTTTCACCAGTCACAGAATCTGCTGTCATATCTGGCGGGACTAGAAAACCCAGTTCAGAGAGAGTCTTGAGCAACATCACCATCGTCTCAGAGAGGGTCCCGAGGAATTCCGTTCGGTGTAAGCGTACACCTAATACTGCTTTCTACTCACATTACTCCCACAGCCACGTGTCTTGCCAAAACTTAAGCACCTAGCGGCAGAAGACTAATCGAAAACACAAAATTGACGGTACGGCGGAGTCCCCATTCTCTACTCGGATATAAGAGATACCTTTGATGACATGCCAAGTCCAACCAGTACCGTGTAGACCCTCAGCCAAGAGGCTACGGATTGGGGAAGGATGGACACAGCAAGGCGCTGTTCGGTCCTAAGAACAATGATGACGACGACATCGGGTTTGCCTCCAATTCGTCTTCCAAGCCATCCGTACATGTACCCACCGACTTCTACCTACACACACCCTTCGTGAATGGGAGAAACGAGCTGGCGACGCACGAGGTTGAGGCTATGCTTCCAAGGCACGTTACGGGGAAGCGCCGGTACCTGTCCCACCAGACTCTCCGTAGAGACCGAGCCTTTCCTCTCCGCCTACTCCCGCCTCCTTGTTCACCAAGGGAAACCAACAGGCAGACACCATCTTCCGTCTGCAATTGTATCTCGGCCCGGTTCTGCACAGAACGGTGAATGCAGAAACACACTTCACTTCCCAACCCCCATCACACAAGAACCCAACCTACAGATGTCGCATGCATAGCAAAACCCGCAAAAACGACATCGTTCCGTCCTGCGAGGCCGCGAGGCCCGCGAATGGTGCCGTTCTAGCGTCACGCATCTCCCGCTGGCCGTGCTCTCTCTGTCTCTCTCTCTCTCCCCATCTTGCCTCCGGCCTCGAAACCACCACCAACTAGCGCGCCCGGGCTTTTTCTCCCTCCGGGGGCGGGCGGAGCGCCGAGTCTACTTGTAAAGAGGGGCATCCGAGTGTCAGCAAGCTGCAGATACACACGGACGGACGGACCCGTCTCTTTTCCTTTCTTTTTACTCCCGGGTTCTCAGTGACCGCAGACCGACTCTCCACGTTCTCCATCAACGATCGGGCCGCTGTCGTGACCATTGTTTCTCGGTGTTCAAGAGAGCAGCTGAGTCTCGGTGGCAAAAGGGTAGCTTCGTCGACTACGAATACTGTATCAGCAGGCATGCCCTTCCTTGACTTTGATAATACCCTTCAAGCTGACCCGTTGATCGGTGGGAACCATGTATGAAGTTTCAGAATGGGTTTGCCCACTCGTCATCAAGATATCAAGCTAAGTCCGATATCATGCCGGGCCTGTGAGGCATGTGGCGTGGCACGCGATGAATAGGCAGTGTATGTTTCCATGTTTTTTTCCTCTTTGGCATTTGGACTCGAAAATATTTCAAAATATGGTTCGCTATATGGCAAAAAACAAGAAG